TCACTTTTTCTCAACAACTTAATGTACTCTTTTTAAAAAAAAATTTTTTTTAATGGGGCTTTTGGCTACTCTAACATTCCCATCTCTGAAGAGGTAACCGTAAAATCTTTTTAAAGGATTAGATAAAAGCTCCCAAATATTTTTGACATTTTTGGCCTTTGGAACGGAGTATGTTGCTGAGAGGCCCAAGGACATTGTAAGTTTTAGCCAAGAAACTGGCTACTTTTCTTTGGGGTCTTTTTACCCTAACTGCCTAGTGGCCTAATATCCTACCTCCTATTCTTATCACACCATCCTCTGAAGAGGTTACCCAAATGCTGATAGGGAATCAGGACGCTGACTGCTCTGGCTTCTTCCATGCTGAACAGGGATGCAGGGTGAGGCAATTGGGGTACCCCTTCAGTGGGTCTGTCTAAAAGACTCCCAAATTGCATAACTATTAACTGTGGAAAGAAAAGGAAGTCCTTGACTGGTGCCTAGCTATTTTAAATTATCAAAATTAAAAACTTTAAATCCAAAGAAATATAATGAATGTATAACAGTGGTTTTTCGAAAAAGAAAGGAAATCATTTGTAGTGCTTCTTACATTTAAAACATTCTCAATATAACACTCTCACTCGTGTGTGTGTGTGTGTGTGTGTATGTATGAATGTACTGTGTACGTATATATGTATGTACACATGTGTGAGAGTGCTCTGACTGGTGTGTGTACAATGTGGAGGTCAGAGATCGATGTTTGATGTCTTTCTATCATTCTATTCTATTTTTTGAGACCCCACTCAAAGGCTTCTAGGTAGGGGGAGAAAACAAATTTATCCATCATTTTAGAAAAACAGCAGGTTGTCTCTGTTAAGTACAAGTGGGCACTACAGTATTGGAGACCAAGATTTGAAGTCTTATATCTGAGCAGCACTTTCTGGTTAGGAACAAAATTATCAATGAGAAATAGTTGTCTAAATAACTTTTTTTTTGTCTTTTCAAGACAGGGTCTCCCTGTAGCCCCAGCTGTCCTGGAACTCACTGTGTAGACCAGACTGGCCTTGAACTCACAGAGATCTGCCTGCCTCTGCCTCCCAAGTGCTGGGATTAAAGGCGTGTGCCACCACGCCCGGCTTACATAACTTTTTATATAGACTTAAGCCTAATGTCTGGGAAGTGTAATCAGATAGGGGTTTATTTACAGAAGAGTGGGTGCCCCACATTTATGGCTGCACCATAAAGTCCACATTCAAATTCAGATTCTGTGACCTCCCAGCAGCTGCACAAAATGGTGAGAGAGGTGCCTCTTGGTCTTCTCAGCATATCCTTTGCCTCTTCCCCCCATATGCAGCTAAGGTTGAGTGATTGGGTGGGAGGGGTAACTGATGCCTCCCTTCGACTCGACTCCTTGATGGGCATGGGAAGGAGGTGTGACTATAGTTTGCTGGCAGAGTGGTTGGAGGACATTTCCATTTAACACTCTACCCCTTCCTCCGGCTCTTACATTCTTTCTGCCAGCCTCTTCTGAAAAAGGTCCCTGAGCCTTGGAGGGAGTGGTAGGTGTGGGATGATCTTTCTCCCATTGTAGTAAGGCACTGAACTTTCAGGTCTCTGCATTATCTGTTTTCCATGGGCTGTTGGCCAGATTCCACCTACTATAAAAACACACACAGCAAGAAGCAAGAGCATCTAAACAGTGACTGCTATAATAACTTATGGGTGTCGGTACTTTAGCAGGTGCATCATTTCCATCTGACAAAGCATTTGCAGTGACTTCCCACTGGGGCCTGTATTCTCCCCTGCCACAGGGGGTTGGCTGGGTCTACAGATGTGTGGGCCACACCTAGGAGCAGGCATTGTATCCAATCAAAAGTTTGCTGGTTGTACGTACACTAGATGCTCCACTATTGCACCAGTGGAGTGTTTGGCATGTTGGTAGTGAAACATGTGGGGTCTGTTAAGGAGAATTATAGGGGACTATTCTCCCCCAGTCATCTGTGTGTTGCCTTTTGGCACCATGAAAACCACCCATCCAGTGGCAGGGAGTTTTCAGCTTAGTCCAACCTTGAGTTCTCCCTCTCCTGTGCTCACATCATGCAGTGTCTTTAGCAATATGGTTTTTCCATCCACTTCCGGTGTACAACCACATTATTGGTGATGGCCTTTATTGTTTTGGGGGCCTCTAATGTCCCTCAGGCAAACAGTTTATGGGGGCAACCCATGTGTATTAATTTGTAATCTGTTAATGTGTATGGTTCATTCCTAGATGGGCAGGTGGTTTCTGAGCACCTTCAGGTGGCTGTCCTGGCAGAGGGTGAGTCTCCATCATGTAGGTGGACTATCTTGTCACTTGTAGGTAGCCATCCTGGGTGAGGCGGTGGGCTGCAGGTGGGCCTGTCATGGTTGAGAGATGAATCTCTGCTAAGTTTCTGGCCATTCTGGAGGAGGCTTTTAACTGTTTCCATTATTTTTGGAAGCTTGCCCTGGCCTTTTGGTGAGTCTAACTTATGACTTTGCAGCACCCAATCCCCAAGTTTGCCTGCCTCTGCCTTCTGAGTGCTGGGATTAAAGGTGTGTGCTACCACACCCAGTTTATAATAGATATTTAAGGTAGTATGTATATGTTTTCTGTGTTAGATACAGCTTCCTGGCTTTCCTTTGAAACTTAATTATCTTATTGAAAATAAAGTGTTTTCTAAATTTGTACAAATATCAGCAGCAACAACAATAAGAATAAGATGAGAAAAGAACCATCAAGTGAAAAGGAAATATAAAGGTTATAGGTATGAGATGTATTTGATAAAAGATTAAAAAGAGAATGCTTTGGATAAGGAAGAATTTTGTGGGGCTGAAGAGATGGCTCAGCGGTTAAGAACACTGGCTGTTCTTGCAGAAGACCTGGGTTCGAACCCCAGCACCCACATGGCAGCTAAGAACTGTCCGTAACTCCACTTCCAGGGGTTCCGACAGCCTCTTCTGTCCTCCATGGGCATTGCATGACATGCAGGCAATACACACATATACATAAAAATAATAAAATATTAAAAAAAGATTGTTGTAAAAATTTTTGTTTGGTAAGGTAAAGATTGTTCTAAAATGGAAATAGTCAAGA